TATGGTTTCAATGTCATCTAAGAAGGCACAATGAATCCCCCATGTGTTGTTTCAGTTGACCTTGCCCCATACAATGTCTCTCACACTGACGATGGCTCTGAGCTGGAAACTTTTGGGTGTTGTGTGTTGGGATGATTGAGCTCAGGCAGATGGGTTGAAGTGTGCGATATGGCAACCTGGATGACTGGTACATGCAAGGTGTTGATTCAACATTAAAAAAGCTTGGACAGAGGCTTGTTTGATCTGGATTGATACTTTGCCATGTACAGTATTGTTTGCTATATCGACAATTCAATTACTAGAAGTCCACGCAGAAGATTCCCATCAGGCCATTTTATATATTGTTAGAAGTTTTTAGAGTGTATAGTTCGAGCCGTCTGGAGGGATTACATACAGATGCAGTTGTATGGTATCCACCAGATTGGTTTACTATGTTGTAGTTCAGGCCACTAGTTACTGGTTGCTGGTCAGTGGTTGCTGGTCAGTGGTTGCTAGTCAGTGGTTGCTAGTCAGTGGTTGCTAGTCAGTGGTTGCTAGTCAGTGGTTGTTAGTCACTGGCTACTGACCACTGGCTACTGACCACTGGCTACTGACCACTGGCTACTGACCACTGGCTACTGACCACTGGCTACTGACCACTGGCTACCGATCTCTAGCCACCGACCAGTGACCAGTAACCAGTGACCAGTGACCAGCGACCAGCGGTAGTGGCTGGTGGTGGCAGAAGCACAAAGTGCACAGCGGTTAGGTGCCCTGTTTTGAATACCCGGATGTCCCACCTACCCCCTCGAAACTTGGATGAAAACCCATCATCACAACATATCATCTACAGCTACATGTGCTCAGTCTACGTTTCCACCATCCGACTCCAACTGCAACGGTCTCACAGGCTCTTCCATAGAAGAGATGAATGTATTCAACGAATCAGACGGCGGTGTTGATCTCCGGCGTCCCACTGCGCGTGTGGCCAAAGTCCAGCTGGCCGTGGCTTCCCTGCTAGGAGTTTTCGCTTTCCTGTGTTTCTGCGTGCTGAGGAACACATGGTCGAAGCTGTATGCGTCGAGATTTGCCAGGAGGAAAGGGCTGCCAGAGCTCCCGACAAAGGCTCTGTTCGCGTGGGTGCCCGTTGTGTGGAAGATTGATCAGAGCGATGTTCTCGAGTATGCCGGCTTGGACGCGTTTGTGTTCTTGAACGTGTTCAGGTTCGCCATAAAGCTGCTGACCATCATGGGTGTGCTGGCCACACTGGTGATCTCCCCTGTGAGGTACCACTTCACGGGCCGTTATGACGAAGGTGACGATAAGGCGTTGAACTTTGTATCAGGGTGGATGAAGAAATCGTCCAAGGACAAGCCATATCTATGGGTGTACGTTGGGTTCACGTACGTCTTCACCTATTTGACGTTGACTTTGCTGATCAGACAGACGAAGTACGTTGTCAAGGTGAGACAGGAGTATCTTGGGAAGCAGAACTCGATCACTGATCGAACGATACGGCTTTCAGGCATACCACCTGAGCTCCGGGACGAGAAGAAGCTCAAGAGACATATTGAGGATTTGAACATTGGGAAAGTGTCCTCCATCACGATATGTCGGGAGTGGAAGCCCCTGAATAAGCTGTTCAAGCAACGTAAGGCCGTTCTCTACGCACTGGAGGAGAAATGGGCAGAGTATCTTGGCCCGTTCTCCTTCAGCAACACGAAGCAGAATATACCTGTGAGGAGGGTGCGTGAGTCCTTTAGACTACAGAGAAGTGGACAGTTCCGTGATGATGAGGATCACAGTGATGAGGATCACACTGATGGCGAGGACGAGCATGTCCACACGGACGAAGAGGCGGAAGCGGACGTTACGCACGACACCTCGACAGAGTCGCTCATCGATGACGATTACAGATCAATCCAGGAATACTCCAACAGGACAGCTTCTGGTCAAGTGCACATATCAGAGCAGCCTTATAACCATGTTAGACCAACGTTGAAGACTGGGTTCTTGGGACTATTCGGCAAAACAGAGGATGCGATAGACTACTACACGAACCAACTGGAAGTTCTCGATGAGGAGATCTTGAGGGCAAGACAAAGACACTACCCAGCAACGCCAACGGCCTTCATCACGATGGACACTGCTGCTTCTGCACAGATGGCTGCACAGGCAGTGCTTGATCCAAAAGTCCATCATCTGATCACAAGGCTGGCACCTGCACCTCACGACATCATCTGGGATAACATTGTCCTATCACGTAAAGAGAGATTATTCAAATTGTACTCAATCACAGTCATCATTGGCATCATCAGCGTTACATTGATTGTTCCTGTTGGTTATCTGGCAACGTTGCTTAACCCGAAGACCATAAGGGAGTTCTGGCCATGGCTGGCAGACTTCCTGGAGCAGAATGAATGGGCAAGAAACACAGTTTCTGGTTTGCTTCCAACATATTTGTTCACCTTGCTCAACTTTGCTATTCCCTTCTTGTACGTTTGGCTCTCCTCTAAACAGGGGTTCATTTCGCATGGCGATGAAGAACTGTCTGCAGTTTCTAAGAACTTCTTCTATATCTTTGTCAATTTGTTTCTTGTTTTCACCACTGCCGGTACAGCATCTAATTACTGGGGGTTCTTAAGTGACACTACACAGATTGCATATCAGTTGGCTCGGTCGCTTAACGAGCTCTCGCTCTTTTACGTTGATTTGATAGTGTTCCAAGGCTTGGGCATGTTCCCCTTCAAATTGTTACTGATTGGTTCTTTATTGAGGTTTCCCTTCATTAGAACTGGCTGTAAGACTCCAAGGGACTATAGAAATCTTTACAAACCACCAATCTTCAATTTTGGATTACATCTACCGCAGCCCATCCTGATATTGATCATCACGATCATTTACTCCGTGTTCTCTGCAAAGATTGTCATCTCAGGGTTGTTGTACTTCATCATTGGGTATAACGTCTACAAGTACCAACTGATGTACTCGGTTGTCCATCCACCTCATTCCACTGGTCAGGTATGGCCCATCTTCTTTAGACGTATCATTGTTGGGTTGTTACTATTCCAATTGACCATGACCGGTACGCTGGCCACTTATCACGACGGTTATATTTTGGCGATGACGTTGATTCCATTACCACTGGCAACCATTGGTGTTTTACTCAATTTCCAGAAGCATTACCTACCGTTATCCTTCTTTATTGCTCTTCGTGCGTTTTACAACGCCAGAGAGGAGGAACGCTGTATTGCCAACGCTGAAGAGACCATTGGTGATGGAGCATTCACACCGGTACACGAGAGACACAGCTCAACTGAATCCACGGATGTCTTGACAACCCCAGTGCAACGCATTCGTTCCCGTACTGTTGATGAGACCAGAGAACAAAACTTGACGTATGCATACCCATATTTGATCCAACCTTTAGATGGCCCGTGGATTGCACTGGAAGGTGATGATGTTGTCGTTGCCAACAGCGAAGGAACAGTACGGAAGAAGATCACGCTTATGGAATGGGAATGATTGAACTGCACCACCTCATCTTGCAATACGAACGACTCTTTAACGATTTACAACACCTGCTCAGGTGATTGTAGTATGTATAAGTGGTTTAATGGTACATTATTTACATGGCTAGCTATCATCACGGTGAACTCGTTAAATAATCAGGAGAGGGTTGGAGGGAGCAATCAGTCAAATTTGAGCTTGCCTCTTCTGTCGGATCTGAACCCATCTCCTCTGTCTTGGCTTGTGTGATCTCTGTTTCCACCTCTGTAGTCTCTGTTTCCTCCCCTGTGATCTCTGTTTCCACCTCTGTAGTCTCTGTTGTTACCTCCGTGATCTCTGTTTCCACCTCTGTAGTCTCTGTTGTTACCTCTATAGTCTCTGTTTCCACCTCGATCATTGCCCCTGTAGCCTCTTCTATCACCATAACCTCTATCAGAGGATTCTCTTCTCTTTGGCTTCTCATCCTGGAAGTCGTTGGCACTCGAGCCCAGGTCAAAGAACTTATTGGAGTCTCTTCTGTTCAAATGAAGAACTCTCTGAGCAAAACTAGCAGTGACATGTGGCTTCTTGTCAGCATCCTGGAAGAACTTCCCATAAGCAGTGGTATAATCCTCCAAAATATCATACATGTTGAGTCGATAGACGTTTGAGATACCCTTGGAGAAGCCAGCGAGGGACTCAATGACGAGATCCAGGGAATACTTGTGTCTTGCAGCCTTGGAAACGTTGGCAATCTCACTCTCCAGCTCTTCGTCCTTTTCATACTCGAACTTGGAGACAATGTTGATGTTTCTCTTCTTCAACACCCTCAAGAACTTGGACTCGGCATCAGACAAGATCATCACCGCAGAGCCATCCTTACCACCTCTTGCGGTTCTTCCGACCCTGTGGACGTAGTTAGTCTCGTCCATTGGTAGTCCAATCTGTACAACATTCGTGACGTTTGGGAAGTCCATACCACGAGCACCAACGTCGGAACAGACAAGAACACCATTGAAGCCTTTACGGAATTCCCTAACTGCTCTATCTCTTGATGCCTGCGCCAATTGACCATGGAGCTGGTTCACTGGGCTCCGGATCTTTTGGAATTTGAATCTGGTGTACAGCAGCTCGTAGAAGTAGCTCACAGCTTTCACCGTTGGCAGGAACACAATGCCCTTGAACTTTCTGTTGGCTTTGGCTTCACTCTCGATGAATGTGATGGCAGAGGTGTACGATTCAAAGATGTCATTTGTCAATATCAACGACTGGTTGATCTTTTCATGGGTATCAGCTGCATTGGGATCCACAGTGTCGATGTAGTGGAACTCAGGTCTCAGAATACGCTTTGAGAACTCCTGGACATCCTTGTCCCACGTGGCAGAGTATAGCATAGTCTTGAACTGATGCTTGTCATCAACCAGGTTGTCCTTCAGAGTATCAGAGATCTCAACAAGGTCCTCCTTGAAACCCTCACCTAACAGTCGATCAGCTTCATCCAGCACCAATGCCTTGATATGGCCAAATGCACCCAACACTTCAGGTTCTTTCAGAAGATCTAACAATCTTCCAGGTGTTGAAACCACGATAGAAGGATGGGGGTCTCTTGAGGTGAACGCACGCACTTGTTTCCATCTACTTTCACCACCAACCACTGTTTGCACGCTCAACAGGTTCTTCGTGTGCCGGACCATCTCCTTATAACGGACAATCTTGTTCAGCTCATCTCTGATCTGGAAGGCCAAGTCCCTAGTTGGTGCAACGACGATGCCCACGACCCTTTGGTCTCTTGAGTTACCGATTCTCAATGCCTTTTCAATCAAGGGTATACCGAATGCCAGTGTCTTCCCGGTTCCGGTCTTTGCCTTCGTTATGAAATCGGCATCTTTTGTCAAGACTGGGTGTATTGACTTCTCTTGAACTGGAGTGAGCTTGTGGAAGCCCAGGTGGGACAGAGCACTGTGGACGGGCTTTTGGATGATTCCTGTACTGTGTAGGTGATGGATAGAGCCATGATCAGCTGTTGCTGGCGTCTTAGTCTCAGTATTGGCTTCAGTCTTAGTCGCAGTCGTAGCCTTAGTCTTATCATCAGTCGTAGTCGCAGTCGTAGTCGTAGTCGTAGCCTCAGTCTTAGCCTCAGTCTTAGCCTCAGTCTTAGCCTCAGTCTTAGCCTCAGTCTTAGCCTCAGTCTTAGCCTCAGTCTTAGCCTCAGTCTTAGTCTCACCAGCAGCAGACGACAAGTATCTTTGGGACAACTTCACAGTTACCGACGATACAGACAAACGGCCCGAAAACACGGCACTTCTCACGTTCTTTAACATGATTCACAAGGGTTATCACTGTATTTGGAAGCGTGAAAGAGTGGTGATGCGTGAATTGGTGATGGCGATGAGGTATTAATCACAGCGTTTTTTAATACTCTTCTCGAAAAATTTTCACTTTACACTGTGGTCCACACCTATTATCACCGTACGACAGAGAGAGGGATTAGTACTGAGCGAGAAACAGTATGAAGCCTGTGTACTTCATCTCGAGGCCCAAGCACTCGCTATTACAGCTCGTCCTCATGGAATTGGCCCAGCTGCCGGAACAGCCTCAGATCCCAAGGATGGTGTACCTGATGAAGTCAGAATTGGCTCTGAGACACTTTCTCAATAGAGACTCTACGGTTAAATTGACCAGATACGATGACAGGAAGGTTGCCTACGAGGTGGAGAGACAATTGATGAGTGCGTGTACGCCACCTGAGTACGAGACAGGTGAATTGGCCCATATGGACTCACTGGTGTGCGAGTTCTCGAAGCTGCGGAGCTGCACACAGCTACACAACTATAAGAAGAATCTGGATAAGACCAGTTCTTTGCTGATACTGAACAATGATAAGTCGTATGTGGACTCACTAAGGACCCTGGTGTGGAAGGATGAGGTCAGCAGGCCGGAGTTGTACCAATGTATGGGCAGCTTCAACACCTGGTCCATGGGGGTGTATCACAGTGGTGTTATGGGTGCTGGACAGCTGAAGATTGCCAGAATTCCTAGAAGCCGAGAGGAATACGACTATGACTTGAGCGCAGGCTTTGAACAGGTTCCATTGCTAAGTGCTATAAACGATACGAAGAACTTGAACCCAATTTATATGAAGTACACCGATTTCCTTGTGGAGCAGTTTGAAAGTATGATCGTCAAGACCACAGTGGGCTCTGTAAGTTCCTTATATGGCTGCTCCAATGGTGATCTCCTGAAGTTGAAGAACGTGGAGTCCATAATGTCGTTGATCATCCACGATTGTCTTCGAGTCATTTCCACATTAGAGCCTACTCTAGACATGGCAATGCTACACAAGGATCGACTCATTGACGTTTGCATCAAGACAATTAAGCAGACGGAGAGAACAAGCACGATATTACAGAGACAAATTCAGAAGTGGAATGCAGCGGAGATTTATAATACAACTGGGTACTTCTCGTACATGTCGAGGAAGAATGGAGTTTATTGTCCACAGATCAGCCTTGTATCGAGAATACTCGAGGATAAGATCTCATTGGCCCACTTAAAGAACGGAGAAGTATCATTGGATTAATTGGAGCATTTGATGCTCAACTATACGGAGTTGCTGTGTATATAGGCTTTTAACGGTTTCATCTTTGCATCGGGTTATGCTATCATCGAGTTCCTGCTCCAGTGCTTCAAACAGGGCCAGTAGAATCTTACTGGAACGTCTCTTATAGTACGAGCCATCGCTGATACCATTCAGCAAGGCATTCAACCTTCTATTCTGTTCCATCTTGTTATCGTCCTCAATGATCACCGCAAGGGCAACTTCGATTCTGAAACTTATGTCTTCAAAGGTCATTGTATAGTCTCCGTAGTAGCCCTTTGACTTGAGGAAGTCAACTTGGATGTTATCCAACATTGGTGTAATCTTAGAGGTGATGTCGACATCGTTCCATGGATTTATATCGAGCATGAACCCGTACTCGCACAGCAGGAATTCGTTAGAATGTGGTCCATATGACAAGTACAGCTCCTCATTTTCACTGTACGTTGTTGAAGTTAATACATGGAATCCAGTGTGGTCAATCTTCAAGATGCATTGCTCCCTTGGACTATGATTGATAAGATCAACGTACGGTGCCAATGTGAAGTTATCATCTTTATCATGGCCTTCTGGAATTTCCATGTATAGACAACGAGAATTGACACAGAACCATGTCCATAGGTACACCTCCCTATCTATCTCAAGCCCATGTACAAAGGATTGTACAGTGGTATAATCTCTGTTGAACCTGTCAAACATCTTATCACAGTGAATGGACGTCGAACGAGGTAATGACTTCACACGGGCATCATCGTGTAATTTCCAAACCAATGGGGATTGTTGGAAGTCCGTCATTGGAGGCAATGAGTCAATGAACGGGAACCACCATGATTTAGAGCCTCTTTGGTTCTCCAAGTAGATGAACATCGTGACAATTTGGAAAGAAGATAGAGATTGCAATTGCGCGATATCCATCCTTGCGTAGAGCGTCGTAATGGAATCACCCTCACCACGAGAGTGTGCTAGCTTGGCTTTGTTGACGACGTGGCCATCAGATCGCCAGCTCGTTATATGGGCCATCACGGTGGAAAAGTTCATCAGGCACTGGTGCGAGATCTTTATCAGTTGTTTCCCTTTGTCTATGGAGCCATTGGCAAAGAGACCTCTACCACCGTACGAAGTAGCATCTGCTCTGATAGATCCAGAGATACTGTTACCACCATTGGACTCGAGCCAGCTGATAAGAGCTTGTAGTTTATCAGGCATCGACGCAGCTTTACTGATCGTATTAGAGGACGAACGGTGTGGTTCCACTTACAAAATGCGTATTGATTTAATACCTCATCGCTCGTCCTCCACCATGAATTTTTTTTCACCTCCACCGGAAGTTTCCCATTTATGTCTCAGGAGCCTCGAAACATATTGAACGGGAATTGAGCTCCTCCATCCGAGGAAAAGCCATAGAGAGGGAGAGATGACAACGACGAACTGCTTGAGAAGGGCATTCAGCACCACGGGAAGAAGGTTCACGTCAGATGGTTCGAAATGCTTGAAATTTACACCGAACAAGCCGTCTGCGACGACTCTACGTCATCTCAACTTCACCAAACCACTTTCCTATACCAAGGGCCAATTGATCCAAGAACAGTTCAAAGAGGCCAACGTTGAGTTTAAGAAGATGATGCGCAAGATTGGAGCCAAGAAGCGTGAGATGGACTCGAAAAATCTAGTCATGAATGACTACGAAGCTGAGCTGTTGACGAATATCGTGTCTATGAAGCCGAGTCCTACTCTTTTATCTTTCCAGTTCGAGCCTGTGTTGACAGGTGGACGCCGTGAAAAGAACAGACTGACTTCTGATGATATATCCAAGCTTGAGAGCATGGGATATGACTTTGTTCAGACAAACAGGGGCGGTGAGATCACATTCCACAACAATGGTCAATTGGTTGTGTATCCGATATTTGATCTCCAAGACTTTGACCATTTGACCATTAGATGCTTTGTATCGAAACTTGAGGATGCCATTATTGAAACCTTGAAGAAGTTTGGAGTCCACGGTAAAAAGACTTCGAACACCGGTGTCTGGGTTGATGATGCGACCAAGATCTCAAGCATTGGACTGAGTGTGAGCAGAAGCGTGACGTCCCATGGAGTCTCAATAAACGTCTGTAATGAGATACCACAATTGGAACAAACCACTGGGTTTGTATTCTGTGGGTTGCCAGGGAAGACTCAAACCTCCATGTCTTTACAATTGGGCGAAGATGTCAAGGTTGATGACGTTTCAAAGGAGTTCGCCAGACAATTGGCCAAACAGTTGAACATACAGACCATTGAATCTATAGACCTGGAAGATTTAGAAGTTGACTAAAGCGTCATATATACACCTTCACATGTATTCAGTTAAAGGAACTTCAAAACAATAGATGTTAATATCACAAGAGAGCCAACTGTAATTCCAAGGTGTACCATATCACCAAGGACTCTTCTTTGCCAAACCTGTTGTGAAGAAGTCAGTTTCAACTCCTCTTGGAGCAATTTGTTCTTGGAGTCTTTCTCCTTTAAACTCAATTCGAGTTGGTTCAATTTAGTTGTTTGTTCATCAATCTGTAACCCCATAGATTGTTTAACATCGTCTAACTCCTTATTCTTGGAATCCAATAGCCCTTGCAATTGTTCGATTCTATCCAAATACACATCGACTTCTCGCTTCTTAATGGAATTTAGATCATGGATGCGCATGTCCTTCTCCTGAACCAAAGATTTGAGCTCTTCAAGTTTATCTGATTGCAAACCCACCGTTTTGCCCAGCTCAACATTATCACGTTGATACGTCTCCAATTTATCCTTCAGTTTATGAACCTTCTTCTCCAGAGTGCCCAAGTTAATACTATCTTCTTTGGATTTGTGCAAATGACGTTCATAATCTGCCAAAAACCCTTGAATACTGGCCAACTTCAAGTTGTTCATCTTTTCTTTGTGCAATTGGGCAATCAACAGCCTTATCGAGTGGATCAAGTTCGAGCTCGTGCCTATATTGTTGTTGACAAAGATCCCCGATAGGAAGTCATGATTGGCACCAAGGGCAACTTCCTCGAGATCACGAGTCACGTCTCCAAACACCGCAGCATCAAAGGAGTCCATCTTATCAACGATGGACTTATGAGGTACACTGGGATCTTCGCCTCCTGAGATCTCCTTCAGTACTCTGTCCAAGTCAGTAGTGGATTCCAAGGGCACTGTGAGTATCGTTTCCACTTTACAACTGATCTTCCTGTGGAGTTGATTCTTGTTGTTGGTCTCGTTATCGATGTCGATTCCCAAATCAACACTGTCCGCCTTGTGCAATTCAACCTCATCCACAATCTTCTGGCCGTTGATGAAGGTCCCGTTAGCACTTCGACAATCCTTCAGATACACCTTGCCGTCCTTCCAGTACAACTCAGCATGCTCTCTCGAAATGACACGGGAATCGAAGTAGCCGTTATACATACTGGGAGACTTTTGAGCATTGTTCGGTCTTCCCAACTTCAATACTTGCGGATACTGTGGAATCGTCAACGTCTTCTTATCAAACGTCTCGTTCAACGATACAAACACAAGGATATGTGCAAAATGATCTCTCTTTGGAAGATCAACAGTCTGCGTTGACGTCGACACCAACGGGTTCCCCTTCCCAAACACCTTCGACGACGACCGAGCTCTCCTCGTCGGCGTACTTCCACAGCCTGTACTGGCAGCATGGCTGGATCCGGCGTTCATTCTCGGCTCCAACCGTATTGGTAATGACATCGACATCGATGCTGTGCTCCCACCACCACCACTCCTTGGACTCTGGGCCGACGACGAATGCGACGATTGGAACGCAAGGTCTCCTCTGTTGTGAGCTGCTGATTGTACATCCATAGCTCCAGCTCGATGATGGGTTTACTTGGACTGCTCCAGCTTCTCAAGGTTGCTTTTGTTGATGAGGAGTTTGTTTTGATTTGGCAAGCTGAGACACAAACGCTTTTGGTTCTTTATTTGCGGTGTCCGGGTGTTATAATGTTATATTAAATTATATAATTATCATCTTAGAGATTATTAAAACGATACTAACAAACCTGGCACTGCGGTCTCCAAGCTCCTCCTAATTTGTATCCAACAGTCAAACTCAGAGGTCCATGAAGTATGAGACTTTAGCCTCCAATAGCTCCTAAGATATAACCATTTCAATATTGGCAAGATTCGTCAAAAAAACACCCATAAATTTGCCTATATTGCAACAACAAATCAACATTTGCAAAATCCAGCGATCCGAACGATAGAACTGATCTATATCATCCATTATGCAGACACCTGACTTGATTGGATTGGTGGTTCTTGCCGGAGAATTTGCCCGTTTTTGTTTTTAATTCTCACTGAGACGTTTCATTGCCATGACCATCAATACGTGACAGGGTCAAACTTTTACCTGTGAAAGCTGGCCTTCACAAGTATCCACCTGCTTTGCTCATGGTCAAGCACACGTTGCAGTTTCCAGATTGGCCAATATGATTAAAGCCCACATGCTTTTACCGAAAAATCTATACCCTGCCTGAGATGCTCACACTCTCGTCAATAAAGTGTTTGGAAAAGTGGCTAGACACATAAAGGACGAGGTGAATCTTTTCCATGTTAACGGGACCTGTATTAGTATCATTGGAATATTCACACCATACATTCTCACAATCATATACGAGATCCATGCCTAAAGAATATCTTGACTTTGTAGCGTGAGATTTCGTTAGTTGCAATCAATATTGTATCGACAAGAGACGGAGTATAAGGTCAAAACCCCCATGGGCCACGCAGCACAAGTCAATCGCATTCACCGTGCCAAAGCGTTAAAGACCAACTTGTATGATGCCTATATTCTGTAAACTTGAACTTTTCATTTTAGCACTTTGAAGGACCGATTCCAGGTTTGAATTGCCTGTTTTCTGGGCCCAAGAGAAGGCTTCATTGTTTCTGAATACACAGAAGGCATGAGCTCAACCATCATCCCTGAAACGTTATCGTCACCTCTTCAAAGTGGCCATAGTGATTCCATCACCGAAAGCCTCTTGCTGTACCGTCAGGTCCCTCAAAAGTTTCTTTTCTGTCTCAAGCTGCAATGTTAAACACATTTGCAGCAAGCCAACTTTTATTATGTTGCCAAGGAGTGTATCAAACTAGAAGCCACCCCTTGAAGAGAAACTCTCAATTCTTCCCTATCAGCTGTGTAAAGTTCCTTTTATCCAGCCTCGCATTTTTAAAAGAAAGTGCAATGGGTTACTGGTAATTGGTCATCATAACTTCTGCTTCAGCCAGCTCATCGAGACTTCGAATTAATGCCAGACACACTAGTAGATATAAGTGAATGCTGGGGAATGGTGAAAATACTGACACAAATTATGCTACAGTAATACTCGGGTGTTATCACATAGCTGCTATCTAATATCCCACTGTTCCGTTATCTTCCAGGTGGCTGAGTCATGGAACAGACGTAGTTAGTATCTAAACAATTGCTCTATTCACTGATAACTTGTATAGGTAGACATTTTTAGCTTTCTTGGTGATGTATAATTTATGTTTTAGAAAGAATGTTATAATCCCGGGCCTTTCTTTGTATGAAGAATCACGGGTTATGGATGTATAGTGTTGAATCAAGAAATTATAGTACATATAGAAGAGACCAGTATTGTATACTTCTAAATGACTTGTATTCTACTCTGCTTGTTTCAAACTTCATTTGCAGGTCACTTGTTCTGGAATGGTTCCGAACTCTGAATTGTTATGAGCGGCTCATCTCTCCAACTCAGCAGTCCATTCCCTTCGAGTCAACTTCCAAACCCCTTCCATCATGACTTTGCCCAATGTTGGTCATTTTTTCCATAGAAAATCGATAATGTCTCATGAATCAGGACCTTTCTCTAAATTCTAAAATCACTGGACTCTTTATTATGCATGTCTTCATCAGGCACCACCGTTATGCTATGGAATACCTACTGGTACCTTCGGAAACCATTTTCATTCTAACTCCTTCAAGATGCTCTTTTAGACTTCAGTGAGAGGTGCAGTACCAACTGAATATCTTCAACTTTCAATGTAAAACGTTTGCTGGGTACTAGAAATGGCACTGGGAGAAACGTGTTGTAAGTGTTGCGAGAAGGTGCTTCCAGGTGAAAGCGGTCCAATCATAACCCTTGAAATAGATAGGAGAATTAGAGATGGAAATACAATTGTTACTGCTGGAATTTGTAACCATCAAAAACAATGATCTCGAGGCTAAGGGGATTCCAACACGGTTACATATGAAGTTCTACACCAACGCCAGCCTACTCAAGATTACTCCAGTGCCACCTGATGCTGCAATTCAGATACATCAATCAAATTGTATGGTGGTTGTTGCAAACTAAGAAGGTGAAAGACTAACGGTTGCTCAGATACTTAGGTGTGATTTAGGAGGGACAAAAACTCAACCACTGGAGCGCTAAACGTTCTTACATTTGTTGGTGGGTTTATTCAAGATCCTAATGTTCATTGAGCTATTGAAAACGTTATAAATGGCTACCATGAAGAAGATGATCGGAGAGGGAGGGGGCAGGGTATGATGTTTATTTTGAAGAAAATAATCGTAACAATAGCAGCAAGAATGAACAATACCTTCCTGGGAGATTAAAGGCTCAAAGGTAAAACTTCTGTATTCTTAGACTTGGAAAGGACCCACCGTCAGTTTGTTGTAGTAATCATAAGATAACAACAATGATCAACTATCTGTGGTGAGTGCATTCCAATTCGATGGCAAGAAATGCATCTTAGCACCCAATACCAACGTTGTTGAGTAAAACTTTTCACATACATCTCTCTCAATAAAAAACCAGGTCCACTTGCTATTCGTAAAAGAAAACTACACACAGTTTCGTTCACATAGATTTTGGTTATGCATCTCTTCTGATTTTATTAAGAAGATGTGCTATGGCCAAAAGAGCTGTTAAATCTGGATCATGCATACTATATTTTACCCTGGATACGAACAGGTATATCAAACCAAAAGAGGAAGTAACAAGTAGCGAAAGCTCGCATTACTGGTTGACTAATCTATGTGGGCTTGTAATCGAAATATTTTCAACGGAAGCCATACTCATGCACTTTTGAGACATGTGCAAAACTCTGTATCGAATACCACCCGCCAAAATCCAGCACAGATACCCACTTTTAGATGAACCAGATAGTCTTTTGCTCCAGCGATCTCAAGGATGAGGTGTTGATTATTATCTTTAATTTAATTGATTTAGAGAACTCCCTAATTACATCTTCTGGCTGATCTTAAAAAGTTATTTCAAGACTCTGGTTTATAACATCCCCACATAAGGATGTATAATACTTACTGCGGTTGTATGAATTGAAACAGCAAATCACACAGAATGAGTGCAGTACAGATTTACATCATCCTTATGCAATTTGCAACACATTCTACATTGCCTGAGCGGGGCTTGTGAAGTATGGGTGAACCTTTAAACACTGTAGCTGAAGTCAACATCGCTACCTTACCCCGTTAGGGTTGCCCTTAACTCATTCAAATCATCACATCTCTTTCGGAAAATTAATAGTGTTCCGTGTGTAAGTACTATCGATAATTTAAATTTAGAAAGCTTGGGAGTCACTGGACCTTAATCAGATAGTGGTTATTCAGAGCTCCTTTCCATCCACTTCTCAACTAAATGTAACGGCTGAGGCGGGTACTTTCATGAGAACATATAGGGAATAGATATGCTTCGGCTCTCATATATATATGCGGGACCTAAGTTTTCTAATGATGGGATGATAGTTTTATTACCGGAAGCAGGACTTGATCTCAAACTGCTGCGAGTTATGGAGTTTTAGAGAGTTGAGTAGTTTTTGAATTTACACACTTTTGAGAGGTATAAACACTCAGGTATGCATTAGGATTCGCCTCACAAGCAATAATTGAGACATGGTTATTCCTTCAGGTCTCGCTCCCAACTGCTTCAAGAAATGTAACAGTATGTCATGGCTCGATTTCGTCCTATAGCTGAGCACATAGAGCACATAGATCAGATAGAGCACATAGATCAGATAGAGCACATAGAGCACATAGAGCACACAGAGCACTTATTTCAGAGTCGCAATCCATGATGTGTTCCCGCCAGCCAATGGAGGAGACCAAATGATATACCAGAGGTACGGGCCCCATTAGGAAACACGTGGAAGCGCTGCTACTTTACGTCAACCGGAGCCACACAACCTTCCAGCGCTCAAATATTCCTTATTGCTTCCTTATTTGTGAATTGAACGGTTGAAGCTGGCTGAAAAGAAAGCATCATAACCATTGGAAGAAACCATATGCACATATCATGCGGCCTCAAAGGGGTTAAAGAAATGCAACGGGAAAGTTTATGTTAAGTAAATAGCAATAATTACCAACCTGTTGCAACAGGGCAGCAACAGGAAAAGGAGTTTAGGTTGAGACACCCAGAAAAAAGCCGACTTGGGCTTTTGAATGCTCTGTTGACCTTTTTTGAAACAAATCTTTACTCTTGAGAATTTCATGGTTATAATTTTGAAATGGTCATCGAGACAGCGTCTGAATGCCAAGAAGTCTACAAACGTTACGAACGTTACGGGAAAACCTGACAGATGACTCTAATGTTAGTGTAAATTTATATAGCTGAACGATGTAAAAAACGGAACTTGCCAATGTCAGAAAGGAAGTTTTATATTTCTCCCTTTTTGGTGAGGTGAAAGGTGCATGCCCAGAATCAGTATCAATTGCGCGCTAAGGTGCGTAATTGAATTGTGCAAATCCCTCTTTACTGTGATGTTTCGAGGTACATGATGTAACTTCTGCTAAAATGTATACGTGCATGGTCGTCGTCTCCACA